TTTTATTTTTATTTATTTTTGTTTATTTTATTTTATTTTGTTTTGTTTTATCTTTTTTTGTTTTTTTTTTAGTTTTTTTAGTTTTTTTTGTTTTTGTTTTAGTTTGGTTTTTTTGGGTTGCTTTGGACCCTTCGCTGTCTATGAAAAAGTAATTTATTTTTTTTATTTTATTTTATTTTTTATTTTATTTTATTTTATTTTTATTTATTTTAGTTTATTTTTATTTACTTTGTTTTGTTTTGTTTTGTTTTGTTTTTAGTTTTTTTTTAGTTTTTTTTGTTTTGGTTTGGGGTTTTTTGGGTTGCTTTGGACCCTTCGCTGTATATGAAAAAGTAATTTATTTTTTTATTTATTTTTTATTTTATTTTATTTTTATTTATTTTAGTTTATTTTTATTTACTTTGTTTTGTTTTGTTTTAGTTTGTTTTGTTTTGTTTTTTTTTGGTTTTGTTTTAGTTTTTTTTGTTTTAGTTTGGTTTTTTGGGTTGCTTTGGACCCTTCGCTGTCTATGAAAAAGTAATTTATTTTTATTTATTTTATTTATTTTATTTTATTTTATTTTTATTTATTTTTATTTACTTTGCTTTTTTTTTGTTTTGTTTTTTGTTTTTGTTTTTTGTTTTTGTTTTTTTTTAGTTTTTTTTGTTTTTGTTTGGTTTTTTTGGGTTGCTTTGGACCCTTCGCTGTATATGAAAAAGTAATTTATTTTATTTATTTTTTTATTTATTTTATTTTATTTTAATTTATTTTGTTTTATTTTATCTTAATTTATTTTATTTTATTTTATTTTAGTTTATTTTGTTTTTTTGTTTTGTTTTGTTTTAGTTTGGTTTTTTTTGGTTTTTTGGTTTGCTTTGGCTGTCTATGAAAAAGTAATTTATTTATTTTACTTTTTTATTTATTTATTTATTTAATTTATTTTTTTATTTATTTTGTTTATTTATTTTATTTATTTTATTTTGTTTTATTTTATTATGTTTTATTTTGTTTTGTTTTGTTTTATTTCTTTTTTATTTTATTCTGTTCTATTTTAGTTTATATTACTTTTTTATTTTATTTAATTTTAGTTTGTTTTGTTTTGTTTTGTTTTTTTGTTTTGTTTGGTTTTGTTTTTTGTTTATTTTATTTATTGCTATATATGAAACATTTTATTTAATTTTATTTTTATTTTTTTATATTTTGTGTTGTCTTGCTGCTGCTGCTGCTGTTGCTCCTCCTCTTCCCTCCTGCTCCTGCTGCTGCTGCTGCTGCTGCTCCTCCTCCTCCTTCTCCTCCCCCTGCTGCTGCTGCTGCTCCTCCTCCTCCCCCTGCTGC